TTTTTCTTTTTCTCTTCCTTTTCATATTTTTGATAAGTCTATTGTTCTAACATTTGTGGATTTTTTAGACAACGATTCCATACCATTGGCAGTTATTGTATTTGATGTTTAGTGTCCACAAGGTGTAGAGCAAGATTACCTTCTCTTGATGAGGTTCGTGAGGTTCAAAAGATTGAGTCATGGATTCGAAGGCTTCACGATAAGTTTTAAAATCTTGCATTATTTATTGATAACTTGCCATTTCGGCATTTACATTTTTAATATCACCTTGAGGATAGTCTTCTTTATTTTATGAGGACGGATTCTAATAATCATTTATAAGTGGTGGTGTCTTTGATTTTTATTATATACTTTCTCCATGCCTACTATGATTGTCTTGTTCTAGGCAGGCATATGGGGCATCGTCATGTGACTAAGAAGTTGCATAAGTGTTTCTAGTAACCAAAGATGCGACGTGATATTATCTGGTATGTGCACAACTGCATTTGGTGCCAAGCTTGTAATACTCCTCCTCATGTTGCAAAAAGATAATTGGAATGAGTTGTAATTTCCCTTCTATTTGATTTAATGGTGTTTGATATTATAGAGCTTTTTTCATGATTGACTATTGATAATGAATATATCATTATTGCTTCTGACTATTTAACTCACTACATGAAAATTAGTGCTCTTGCTAGTGTATCTGCAATTTTTTTTACAATACTTCCTCCTCAATCTAGTAGTGTTCTAACATTCGTGTCTGGAGTGAATTCCCTAAACCCTAAACCCTAAACCCTAAACCATATTTTTAACTAAGGCACTTTACATTTTGATGTCTCAATTGAGGATATGTCACACTTTCAGAAATGGCATGATTGTGCTGCAACTAATCTATAGCAAGGATGAGGTCAAAAGCTTGACTCAACCCCACTTGCAATGATTACAACTCAAGCTTAAAATCACCCACACACATAACTAGGTTTACCTTATTTTGTACATATGCATATGTACGGATGTTGCCATATAGAATGAAAACTAGCTTTGCTACACAGTACAAATGTAAATGACAATGTGTGGCAACAGGCCAAGCAATAGAAGATAAGCTCAAGCTTGTATCAAATAACATAGAGAGAATAATAGAAGACTTTTTATTATAAAAATAAACTTAGAAAATAAACACTAAATTAGTGTCAAGTGAACCTTCATGATACTCCCAAAAGAAAGATAAAGGGGTTACTGACTTATTTGTGTAAGACCCTTCTACTACTTGCACGACTTCTCATTTTGTAAAAGCATCTTCGTGTCCAGAACTTCTACTATAGCAACACCAATAGGACATTGTTAATGCTAAGGTCTCCACTTAAGAAATAGAGGTCACCAATTTGGAAAACACCAAGAACACCGATAAGTGTGACTAACTTCATCACATGCCCAACAATGGACATCATAGCCACAACCACATCCTCGCTTTTGTCCTTGAACTTGGGTAGCAATAATATCAACCTCTATTAAAATAGGACTATCTCCCACAAGAAGTGGAGCTGAAGGACATGTAATGAGAAGTGGAAAATGTATTATCCCATAATGTTATGCCAAGTGAAGAGCATTGTTAAGGGTGGCTGAAGCAAGTGCATA